GATCTTTGAACCAACCTTATCTTCAAAATATATCTAATATATTTAATATATATATTATCACATGAAGGGCGAAGCGATATCAGTTTTATCGCTTGAGGGGCGATATCATGCATTACGTGTAGCCGCACGGACATTTACGATATTGTCCTGAAATCGATAAAACTGATGACGCCTCGTCCCGATTATGTTTTATGATAAAGTTATGTTTATTATATACTTGTGCTTTTATCAGGGTCAGAATATTGCCCCAATACAACAATTATTAAAATAGCGGAACAAAAAGCGATGTCAGTGATAAAACATAGGTCCGATGTAGCGGACGTGCATCTACTGAATAGAATAGTAGTACCATGGATAATAAAATAAATGGATAGGAAACTAGCTGACGTGACCTAATGTTTTTACTGGGATTGATGGCGTGGCTGGGTGCCTCAAATGCCTCAAATTTTTAAATTCCTGGTGAGAGAACTTTCGAGATAGGCTGTCCGCATCGATGTTAATTTTTCCAGGTATGTACTTGATTTCAAAGTCAAAGTCTGACAGCTCTCCAATCCATTGCAGCCCGGTTGCATTTAGCTTTGCCGTCGACAGGACGAATGTGAGAGGGTTGTTAACTTGTTGTCCGTGTAAACGATAAAGCGAGGAGAATAGTAAAGGTTATCACGAAATTGTTCCGTCTGACCATTCCAGGCTAGGAATTTCGCTCGATGCTGCTGGTTCCCACATTCGTTCGATTGGTAACTGTATGGATAACATCAATCACAGATCAACCGGATGTCTTGGAAACCGATAGACGTCACTTGGAAACCGATAGACGTCACAAATCGAGAGAATGGCCGTTTTATACTAGAGACGCATTGTGCGTCTGGACGAACTTGGGCAAGCATTTGTTGTTCGCCTGGTTGTGCGTCCTCAGTATAAAGACGGGCACAAGACGCATTATGCATCTAGACGAACTATGTTCGATTCTTCGTCTTAAGAGACGCACAACCGATGATAGTTCGTCCAGACGCATATGCGTCTTGTGCCCGTCTTTATACTGAGGACGAATAACCAGACGAACAATAAATGCTGATAGTTCGTCGGATTATTCGTCCCGTCTTTATACTAGACGAATAATATAGAAGACGCATTATGCGTCCAGACGCATAATGCGTCTCTAGTATAAAAACGGCCAATACGAGTCAAATTAAGATGGTGGACATTGCGAAAGCTCAAAGCGATGAACGGACTATAAGAAGAACCGACCTTCGAGGACCGACAACAGGAGCCCCGGGAACTGAAAAGACACCTTCGAGAGTTGAGTAAATTGCACGACGTCGTGTATCGTAGTACCGGCATCGTGTATCGTAGCCAACAGATTGTATTCCGCTTCAGTATAGACGGTTGGTGTACCATGAACTCCGTGAGGAAATGGGACACCTTGGAACAGAAAGCTTTAGCTAGAGGATGCTTTTTCTGGCCTGGTATGAGGGCGGACATTGACCATTACATCAACCACGTTTGTCGTTTGCCTGCAACAAAAGAAACCAAGTGTCAACACTAGAGAACCACAACAGTCAATCACCTCAACAGCTCCATTCGAATTGGTATCCGTAGATTTTGTACATCTGGAACGCAGTTCGGGAGGATACGACTTGTTATAGTCGACCATTTCACGAAATACACTCAAGCGTACCCTGCTGCTGAAAAAATCTACAACGAGTTTATTAATTCCACGCTTTGGTTACCCCTCTCGAATCCTTCATGATCAGGGTGTAGAGTTTGAGAATAAACTTTTCTGCAAGCTAGAACAACTCTCTGGCATTTCCCACTCACGAACGACTCCCTATCACCCCCAGGGAAATGGACAGGTTGAGCGAATTAACCGGACTCTATTGAATATGCTGCGCACTCTGCCTGAACAATACACGAACTGGAAGGAGATACGAGGCTACCAGGTATTCCCCCTTCTTGCTACTCTTCGGTAGGACGCCATGTCTCCCTATGGATCTCATGTTCAACTTTGCCAGAGAACGGGATATCCGGCCTACGTAAGAAAGTGGAAGACAGCGATGCAGGAAGCGTACAAGCTAGTTTCAAAATCAGCTCAGCTTCAAAATCAGCTCAGCAAGCCGCAGAGAAGAGAAAGAAGCAAAGCAACAAACGAATTCGATCAACAGTCCTTTCTCCAGGTGATCGCCACTGAGGTGATCGCTGAGAAACCTCACTCCACGGGCAGGTCCAGGAAGACTTCAGGGGTTCTGGGAAGACGAAATCCATGTAGTAATGACATAAAGTCAGGATCTGGACGTGGAAAAATAAAAACACTACCTCGCAACCTGTTATTACCTCCCACCAGAGCACGGCGCACAAATTAACGAGTTGGTCAGGACAAAGAACAGTAAAACAAGTCAACGAAGAGAAAAGCTAAAACCGAGAAGACAGTTGTCTGAAAATCACGAACAAGTTGACACAGATTCGGAGGGAGAGGAGAGACCATCTGCACTGCCAAATGATATGGAAGAACTGAACGCACTGTAACACTCACAGCACAGTGGAACGTCCGAAGACACCGAGAGAAATCCAGTGACACCAAGTGAGACAAGCGAACAAGAAGACGGAAACCCCATAATGAAGAACAAAATCTCACAGCAGAGAGTATGTACTACAGTCGAGATTACAACGGAGAACCCCATCACCCAAACCCAATCGACGACAAACGAACATGAAAATGTGATCAAAGCGGGAAATAACGGCGAAGAAACTGCTAGATTTTATCCGCAACCACAACGAGCTCGACAACCGCCATCACGTTTTGGATATAACACACGTGGAAATCCGGCGACTGGCGTGTTCAATGTATGGCAAAACCCCATCGTTGGAATGATGCAGACATACGACTTCCCACCACCACAACCGCACCTATTTTACGGTTACCCACCAACTCCACCACCAGCCCATTAATCAAACATTTGTCCATGTTAGCTAGCCAGCTATTTGGCAAGTGGTCCGGGTTGCGGTTATAGTCAGTAACGCAAGCGCAGCGGATAGACGTGGATAACGATAAGAAACAGGATCTTCCCCCTTTGTGTTTTATATATCTCGGGCTCTTGAAAAGACGACTTTTCGTTTTTTTAGAAACCTGTTACAGTGACCAGCAGCTACATGCGGGCGGGCGTTGGCATCTATTTCTGGTTTTCGTATTATGGCGAAGTATTTCGTTATTTTTGATAAATTATACAGCAACCTATTCCTGAGAATACATTAAAAACAATATACAAAGAAATCATAATTTCGAATAAACATTGCCGATATTTCGAGCCTGTATATATCTCATGGCATGCATGCCCACTGCCCAGGTCCATAAATATTAGTTGATGCGTAGTTTGTTATATAAAGGATTGGACACATTTTTTTTTCAATTGAAAATACGTACTGTTATTGGTTCGTTTAGTGAAAATGACGATGAACAATATTTTGCAAACGTAAACCTACAGACAGTTAATTCGGTTGTATTTAATCGACTGTCTTAACCATTTAAGTTGAAAACTTATCGCGCTAGGATCCAGAGAACCCTGGGTACGAGGTTGGCTAGGAACGGCCCTGTGCACAATCGACCTATGTGTGGAGCCGTCACAGTTGATGTTTTCTTCACGTATGTGAGTTTTTATTAAACTTCTTCTACAATTAGATTTGTAAAGACTGGAATGATACAATAATTGAAGTAACTAAATATTATTTTACACCCAGAAAGTTGTCCAGGGTCTGGATAGTCCTAGCCTCAGATTCTTGTCGCTGGAGTTCTCAGTTCCAGCGATCCTTGCCCTCCTATTCCTAAGGATAATCTTACTATTTAGTTTTTTCAAATTTTCAATCATTGTCAGAAAATATTTACAAAGTACTGCGTGCATGGGATAGTAGTATCGTCCACGCTCATTTCCTTCTTATAGCCATTTGATTAATTGAATTTCATTACTGTAATTCGTGCATCATGTTATTCATAGGTTACTAAAATAACCAATGTGTTTCCAGATGCTTTAATTGAATTTCTTTTGTTCAGATTGCACATTCCAAATGGCTCCATTTGATTTCTCTTTGATTTCTCGGAATTGCATCTACGAACAACTTCTGAACCACACCAACAGTACGTACATTGGAAAAAGTGTTTTAGTACACTTCAAGAGCAATGCTTTTTCACAACAGCTGGTAGTCAATTCTACAAGCAACACGTAGTTTATTTCTACACGAGGGATTTTTTCCAGTACGCGTAGTCACTAAGAGGTTGTGGCTCTTCAGATGAATCACGATCTTTGTCTAAATCACGTTCAATTCTTTCTTTTTCTTTCCCTGTTAAACTTGTGTCAATATAACCATCAAGTTCGTTTCCTCGAAGACTAAGAAAAAATTAGAGCAGAATGTAATTAAATATGCACTGTGATGAGCCAAATCTATGCAGTCTGTACAAACGAAGGTATACGATTCTTTAGGGATTAGCCTGCTCGCATTCCAAAACTTTGATAAACGGAAAAGAGAGTTAATAAATATCTGGCTGTGACCAGGCTAATGAGGATTTGCATTCATTCGTACTGCATTCCATATGGGGTTGATAGGAATTTGTGTTGTGTTTAATAGGGATACGTTACTATCAAATATGTGATAAAGCAAAAGTATTGATTATATTTTTCGTCGGCCAAAATAACATATTTACATCAAGTACAATGAATATTTGCATTGATAAGTCAACTTAATGCATGATTTCAATTATCCTACCCTGTTCTGTATTAACTCTTATCCCTGCCAAAAACAAAAAATAACCATTCGTGCAATACAGAATTTACGTTCTCCTTACCACATCACATCTGGATCTTTTATTATTTCTGGTCTGTGATCATTTTGCATCTTCTCAATCTCGCTATCTTTCCTCCCTTTATTTCCTATTGCTTTATCAAAACGGAATTTCCCTCTCCTCGCATTTTGATCTCTGAGCAGAAGCGAATCATTTTCGTTATCGCCTGGTGATGGAATGGGTGGTAAAGGTGAATTACATTCAAACGGATCCATTTCTGGTGTTTTTACTTCTGATGGAGATAAATATTCATTCATCACTTCTCCTTGTACTTCAAGGTAACCGCATCCACCCTGATAAAAAACAAAGTTGTCACAATGCACGTATTCATTTCTGTTCAGATAGAAACAAATGCGGATTTTGAACATGTTCGATTTCGTAACTCAATTTTGCAACTGAGTACTTGAGTGAAGAAAACAAGACGAGGTTTAATTAACGCAAAGAATTACGTCAAATTTTCTTCCTTTATTAAGTATTGGGATGTTGGTATAGAGCTATATCGAGTTTTTTCGTGTTTTTATCTCTTAATATTACACACTGTATTACCAGACAGGAATTGTAACATGGCGAATGAAATGATGTGAATATTTTCCCGAGAAACTTATAAATATACTGTGTCTACTGTAAGCAAATACGATTAGCTGGGATTTTGAAAATTGAAAGCAATTCATGCAAGATTGTTACTATAAGAATCTATATATCCAACTTTTTATGTAAGTACTGTTTCATTTCTACATTCCAGCTAAATCTCAGTGTAGGTAAATGACCTGGCCAGGGAATAATGTTTTGATAAAATTTTGATTACCTCAGAAGAAGTATGAAGTTCAATAATTTTGTCTAATATTTCAACCAATTCTTTGAATGTTGGTCTAGAATCTTTATCTTCATGCCAACATTTCATCATTAATTTTGATCTAAAATAAAATTAATTGGTATTTGTAATTGCAATTGTAATTGTAATGGACAACTTGCATGTTAGACTAAATTTTAATCTAAGTAAAGACAAGGGAATCAAATACCACAGCTAAAAAGAACATAATGAAATTAGTAAAACTGCAAGACTATATTTTCCAAGCTTTACAAAATTTCGTAACCAAATTTTGCAATTTTACTAATTTTAATAAGTTCTTTACGGGAATTTACATTTTTTGCCTAGATCAAAAATTAGTCTAACATGCAAGTTGTCTATTGTAATTGTAATTGTAATTGTAACTGTAATTGGTTGATGAATACATGCAATGAAACATATAATAAAACTAAAGCTAAAACTAAATGTTCATATACTTCCAACGGGATGTTTTCAAAATAATTCGTTTGTACCTATTGCTATTACGATATTCGCCTCCTCGAGTTATTGAGCACGCGGGAAGTTGGGAGAGCACGAAGAAGTGTAAACTCTAGAGCTTGAGTGATCTCCCAGCCTGAGTGATCTCCCAGCAACGCCAAATCATGAAAAATGATTATATAATATAAAATTTAACAAAATACAAGTTTTTTCATCCTGATGAAATTACAATTTCTCCTAACGCAAGCAAAATACTAAAATTTTTCTGCATGATTATTTCAATTTTTAATTCGTTTTGCACTTGTATTACCTATCCTGGAAACTGTACCACATTTTTATGTAGCCAGGTCCGGCGCACTGGTGTCAAACGTTTCTAACTTTGTCGACCTTTGTGGTGAGCACGGCAGAAGGAACTCTTCGACTTTGCGATTGCAGTTGATTCACGAGTATAAACTCTAAACTTGATTTTTTACACATGTTAAAATAAATCAATTATCTGTCAAAAGTAAATGGCTGACTGTTTTTATTCAACAAGTTATGTTTTATTGATTATTGTGAAATTCTTAAGGAAACGTTTCCCCCAATCTTTTTTGCCGTGCTTAAGCAACTTATTGAACACGCATTTCAATCAATCAAAAATGTTCTGATCTTATATATAATATATATAAATCATTTTCCATAATTATCTGCTGCTTCAATTTATAGTAAAAAATCTTACATCTCCTCTGGACATGCGTGAGGTGGTTCCATCCTAAGTCCACGTGCCAAGTACTCTGCCACTTCTTTCGGAGGAATATTTGGATATGGAGTTCCACCTATTTTGAAACAAAACCTGAAGTCAGCGTATTAATTTCAATGATCTTTTTTTTATCAATTTATTGCTGATATACGCATACAATACATACGTATGAGTATATCAAGTGCGAGAGTGTAATCCAGGTAGTATTATTGTAGTGCAACTGTGCAAGGCTAGGTCCACACTAATCCGTTTTCGTATTGTTTCAGGTAATTAGACTATTGCTCTCTGTTCCTTTGGTTCCAGGGACCCCTGGTTATTTATCCACCTAACACTGTTGGGTTAATTTAACCAGGAAGTTTCTACATAGCATAGCCTGGGTTAGCTCATAACCCTAGGTTAACCTAAAATACAAAGCGAACTTCCCAACGGCTTGTTTATAAATTTGAAAATATTTCTTTGCATATGTTGTCTGAATCAGTAGGAGTTTTCTTCCCTGAAGTTTTGAAATAAACACGTGCAGAAATACATCACTAAAACAGCAGATTAAATTTTAACCGGGGGTTAGCACTAACCAAGCTTTGAACAGTTCTACTTGTCTACAGTTCTTTGAACAATTCTAGTTGTCGTAAATCAGGCGGTATCACATTGTTAATTAAGAATACACTTCAGCCACTGATTTACACTGAAAAATTAACTAAAAACTTCCTATGGTGCCGTATTGATAAATCAATTTTGGATTCCCCACATGACCTGTTTATATGTGGTGTTTATATTCCTCCAGAAAAATCACCATACTATGATGAAGAAATATTTAAAGATTTAGAAAATGATAT